AATTTTAAACCACAACGTTCTCTAAAGGGGAAATTGTGGAAAGTACAAAAGTGAAACACGATTCTATTAAAACGAATGTGCGAATTGACATGTTCCCGTTACTTTCATATGTATTCGAAAGAAGGCATGCACGACAATTCGGTAATTTACTGTCCACTGGTTTTGGATATTACAGCATGTAAACAACAGCAGTCAAAACAATCAAGAAAGAGCAAAGAAAAGGGAGCCAGGGCAAACCCTTGAACACAGAAAGTGAAATTACTCACGGCTGTATTCCCCAGAATCTCTGCGTCATTACCAGCCTCGAAAGCTGTTGTATTTCCCAGTGTTGGATCCAGAACTCGCCCGCCATTCTTCGAAGGTTTCTTGTTAAGTTCCTCGCGTCGTGTGCGAAAGAAACCCAAAAAAACACACCCGACAGCTAGTGCAATGAGGATTAAGCTTAATCAATGCTCAGAGACTGAACATGAACCAGATTGAAACCAGTAATTGCTTAGGGTTAGATTGCTGATTAAACTCAGCACCTTTCACAGGAAGAACGCGAACGAGTCACATGCTGTTGATATCCTTTCTTAAAATGCCGCCAATTTATTTTACCGTATTGACCAATCACAAAACTAGTTCCAGGATAGCTAACAACTAAGTAATCAAGCATGTCTCAACTTGCCCGGTTATTTTTATCTTGTCAATGGAAATGTAATTCCGTCGGTTATTCAGAGAACAAAAGCAAAATAGCGATTGTGACAATCATGATAACAAGGAAACAAACAAACAAGATGACTCGAAGTTTGATAAAAATTAACGTGGATATTGATTATCACCGCTGAAAAAGAAAGAAAAAAACTCCATATTACATCTCACTGAATAGTGTGCACTCACTTTAACTACGCAATTCTAACGCTACACTTGTCCTCGCTGTCTACATTCTTCTAGTCTACTCTTCTTTCTTCTAAAGAACATGCCTATACACTCACTACTGACAGATATGGATGGGGATGCCAGGTAGCTGACCTTGGGAGATTAAACATTTGTTCTTAGTACACTAAACCAAACAATTTCACGAGACTTTCGAAATGAACAAAAAATAATTAATCATAATGCTTCCGATCAACTGATCAACCTCTGACTACGTCAGCCAAAACTGACGTGAACTTTCGTGTGCCGAGGTCCGAAGCAAGGTAAACGGCAGACAAACTAAGCGCATCCACTTAGAAGTTAGACAAGACTGTCACAACTCGGAAACTCATCACACAGCTCAAACCTAGACAACTTCGGAAATCGAATTCGTACAGTAACTACATTCTAAATATAACTGAACGAAAGATTAAATCATATAATGAACTGACCAACTAAATTAAATAAATACTTAACAACATTATAAAAGTACTGATGAAAACAAATTTTCTTTCCACGAAAGCAGAACATTTTAGAAGCTTTGACTCAAAATTTCCGTTGATAAAAAGCCACTACAGGCAGCATCAATCAGCACGTCCAAAATAGCCTGAGGCGCGCATATTCCTTATATGGAAAATGGAAAGAGCGGGAAAATCCTGTCGCGGCGTTCCTTTCTAAGATCGATTCGCGAGCATTTTTTTAGAGAACAGTTCAAACGTGTGTCAGTTTCTTGCAAGATAAGAAGTCTAAGTAGCCAGCCCGAAGTGCAATTTTCAGTGTAGAGACCAAATGAACCTGTTGACTGGATCCAGCAAAGCACATCGCAACTCATAACACAAGTTGTAGACGGTGACCACCTCAATGGAAAAGTGTTTCGAAAGGGGTTAGAGGAAGGTAAAGTCCATTATTTCCTCTTTACGCTGAATACCTATTTTCCTGAGACACAGAACCAAATGCTTCGGCCCAAAACAGACTCAACAGTCTCCTATGGCTGGGCTGTTGTCGAGCAGAAATTGAACGAAGAAGAAGAAAAGTAAAGAATTTTGATCAAGAACAAAGCATTTTCTCGAGGCGATCCGTCAGGAAAAAAGTTACCTGACAAACTTTCCTCAAACTTTCTCTGACAACCTCTGTTTCGAAAATTTCAATGAAAAGGATAGGTCACAGTGCTTGCGCGTGCTACATTTCTACATCTGCTTCGCTTTTCACGTATTATAAGAAATGGGCATAAAATAAAGCGGTTGGATAACTTATTAGACGTTTTGGTGTATAGTATTACCGGATATCTTTACTCGTTGTTTGTATTTTAACTGACCCTCTGACTCGACAAAGTACGACACAACTCGAAAAGATACATTCGATTACTTCCAAACGAGGCGCATTGAAACGTGCCAAAGTTTCAAAATGATCTATTCTTCATGTCACAGCTTGGTTGAAGTTATCCCTAAGATTAATTCAAATTTGGAGAGCGGTCAGTAAATCCAGTCAAAAAAACCTTTACCAGCATCGAAATAAACTTAAAGTCTAATGATAACCATTACAATCAGCAATCAGCTATAAGCTAAAGGGTTTCAATGAAATGTGCAGATAATTCAGAGAAAACAAAAATGTTTGATTGGGTTCATTTAATTCTTTGATCAATGACTGATTTTTTTTTTCAGAAAACCTGAGGTGGTGATATTTTACATCAGAATGCGAACTTGACGAACTTTGAAGATTCTGTTGTATGAACTTCTGACATCAATAATCAAGTCAAAGAGAACTTACCATCATGTTCTTCTCATCTTGATGTCATATTGTAATTTAATTGATAAAGAACTAAGGGAAGTGTTTTCCTCAAATTTTGGTAACTATATTCAAGACGCTTGCACATTGCAGTCTCACAATCTTCAACTGCACCAATCAAGGGGTAATTCAATTACCACCATTGAATAGTAATTGGCATTAGTAACTTAATATAATAAGGGTCCAAGAATTTGCCACCGGAATGATATAGAAAAAAATTAATTACGATAAGGTTCGTCTCTGAATTTCTTGCTTCAGTTTAAAAAAGGTCTAAAAAAACGACAACCACTTGAACTTAAGTTCTGAATATACAGTCACTGTTGCAAAATTATTGGAAGACGGTGCTAAAGTTAAATATGGCGCTACCCCACCGAATTTCTATTGAGACACAAAACTAAGCCAGTGGAACAGTGCAAGACCGATAGGCGCACAATAAAGAGTGTAATGTAGATAACTGTCCCACCGTTTCGATATATCTTCGTTCCTCTTAATACATATATTTTATTCGACGTTTTGGTGTGTAGTATCGCTGAGTATTTTACGACTTGTGCCGTATTTTGACGAGCTCGTATATTAAACTAAGATACTTTTCATAAAATATTTCGGACGGTTTGGCACCAAAACAGGCGCAGGGATCATAGCCTTGTTGTCTAACTGATTTCCAACTGAAGTTAGAAAAAGGTTATTCTCATGCGGCCACCCAAATGCCGAGATGTTACAACAAACAAAGTCCAATCGACACTCACTTACCCGAACATTCTCCTGGGCGATTATCCTCTCAAAGCGACTCCTTCGTAAATGGCAGTTCTATCTTTTTCCCAATCAAATGCCGCTTTAAAAACTTTCTCTCACATGACTAACACGCACTCTCTCATCGTTAGAAAATATTCAAATTCTTTTCATTTGTGTCTCAAAAGTTCAACTCCAAGACTCTAAACGAGTTGTCCTCTGCAGTCGATAAAATCACTGAAGCACAGGAGCATTCTAGATTTCATGAAAAAAAAATCAGGGGTTTTGTTTGAGTCAACTGATTTCAAACCGATTTTGAAAATGAACAGGCGAGCAGGAAACTATAGTACATTGCTTGATAATGACATTAATATAAAATGATTTTAGGAAGTGATTAAACAGCATTTAGTGATAAGTCTCTTACTCTTTGTGAATCTCGTTCTCCAAGGCGTCGATCAGCATAAAGGTTTCTGGGAACCTTCAGGGGGTGTCTTCCGGAAAGTCGTTCATACGCACGTCGCTTTTAATAAGAAAAACAAAAATATTTATCACTGTGACGCTTAAAAACTCAAGAATCTGAAGAAATGGCTATATCAAAAAGATTTGATATAATGGTAAGCGTGTGCAAGCTCTTTTACGCCAAATTGACCATGTGTGATATAAACTGATTTACCTGCCTTTAGTGTTCGCACGCACAAAAAAATAAACCGCAAAGTGCCAATCAGCAGTTGATGATATGCATAAGTGTGTGAGGCTTCTCCTATTGGTTGCCGAGAAAATCTACTTGAACTCGGCTAATGAAATACGGTGCTTGCCGATCCTCTTTACATAAGAAGGCCTGAAGGGATAGTATTCGAAATATCAAAAAAGAATTAGACATTTTGGCGCGTTAAAAACCAGTGAGCATTTTCTAGGCTAGTTTCGTAAAAATCCGTAAGATCTACATACCATATCCAGGCGCTTTAAGCTAGGGAATCCACGCAAAAAAAAGTCTGAATTTTCGGCTCCTAAAATTTTACTCAGAGCATATCACAACTCATCAAAGCAATTGTCAACGTGGTCATACCGTAGACTAAAGAAATACGAGCTTTGAACCCCAAAAGGTTCCAAATAAAAATAGTTTCCATGTCTCCCTGCGTCTGTGATGACTTCAAAATGTGGCGAGAACAAAGTGGTACACGAGGCGCAGCCTAGTATGTCAGTGATCACTGAATTACTGTAAAGACCCACGGCAACAAGGAATATATTTGTTTTATAAGATGAAGAAGCAAAATTTTGCGAATAGCGACGTCATCTTTGCGTCTGTCCTTCAATAGATATAAGTAGGTAAGAACTAAAGAATATAAACAGTTCATAATCTCTTATTAAAAACCACAAAAATTCTTGTAGAGTTCGGTTTAATAGTCTTTTCAAATTCGCTGGAGATGTATGATTCTACAGTCAAGTCGCAAATCCACATCCATGGGGAAAGTGAGGTCCAAGAGAATGAATCCTAAAGTGGAATAGCGGAAAAAAAGTGCTACCCAGAGAAAGAGCAGAAAAAAAGTGCTACCCAGAGAAAGAGCATAGAAGTAGATGAAACCAACGGCTAAACTAGAGGCCAGAATCTGTCTACCGGCGATCTCCGAAATAAAGAAAACATGGTCATGAATTTAGTATACTCGGCACTGTAACTATTTTGTAACCGTCTTCTCAATTTTCAATGAACTCATATAATTTATTCACGGACCCTTTTAAAAGCGATGTTGGTTGCCTAACCGCCGCGAAACAGCAAACCCTTTCGACGAAACAAGATATGCAAAACTGTAGGACAAAAATTTATCTTTCAAATCGGCACTCTATATCCTCATTTCCATTCAACTTATTTATTCTCGTGTTGTCACGTTTCCATGTTTCAACCAATAGCGTAGCTCTATTTTCCTGCACACAAACAGTCAACCCACAATTCCTCTACTCCTCTATTCGCTCTTATGAGGGGCTAATGCGAAACGTCAGCTTTAGAAACTCTATACGGTGGCCAGTTGATCATTGGGTGCGTGAATCAGTTGCAGCTCCAAACAAAAATGGTTAGCTATGAACTCATCGGACAAGACTAACCGCCGAGTAACGCATGCTAATAGTGACCCCGTATTTTCCCTACATAGGAAAACATGCCGTGGGCATTGTGTTCACGCGGATCATCGATCGCCCCCAAAAGTTGCTCGTTCTTCCAAACGGCAGGCTCTTCAAACCATAAGGTATGCTTTAATCGTTTATTGTCTTTTATTTATTATGCGTTTAAGGGAACCACCTTGTGTCAATTCTTGTGACTTGCAAAACGACCTCTAACTTGAGAGACATAACAAACTTTAACTGAGTGGTGTTGGATAAATATGCAAAAAGGGTTGAGCAAATTAAAATTGAAGGAATGGCTAATTAAGAAGAAGATTCAAACGGTTTGCAAATAAAAAGCTTTAAAGGTATGGGATACATGTTTTTTTTATATGAACGCACAAATTAAACTATGACGTAGCTCCCTTGACCATCCTTAACTTAGAAAACGTAAACTTTTACCGGCTTGAATTAGCAAATGACTGCAAAAACTGAAGGTCGAATTTAGCTTTCTCCGACAGTAGGCAAAGGCGACTTATTGGCTCTAATGCCTATGTTCCTTGCTTGTGTAATGAATCTATGTTTCTTCATTGTAACTATTGCAAAAAGTGTGCACTGCACAATTAAGCAGATTACACTGTAGTTAATTTTCTGGGAACAAATTGCAGCTGAGATATACTGTATTTTTCAATTCGACATTAATTCGATATCACAGAGAATAAGATTTCAGTGAAGGTTTAAGTTAGAAAACTTGATGTATCAAGTATGGGACTCTCATGACATCAGCAGGAAATTCCCATTCGATTCTGAAGCCCAAGGATAACTCGAAGCCATGGTATAAAAAATTATTTGTAACTAAGAGAAGATAAGCTCATATCCATATTTTTAAGGATAATCCGAGCTAGTTTGTCCTCTCAACGTTACATAGGGGACATATGAGTGACGATGTCATAACAGCCGAAAGAAGATGGGGAATGAATTGAAACAAGCGGATGTCTCTGTCGCCAGAATTCTTGTTTAGTTCTCTTTTCTAGTGTCTTAACAATATTTCTAGCTAGAAGGGGAATAGAAATTGGAATGAACAAATGTTCTTTTTCAGTAATGCTCTCAAGTTTTCTTATCTATTCTGCGTTTTAAACTGGATTACCGTGTAGCAAACGATTGGTGTAGCAAATGGTATCGATCAGTGGTGATGTTGTGATTAAGATTCTTGGAGAAGAAATATAACTTTATGATCCTTTGTAAACTATTTTCCCACTCATTAGCGATGCAAAGTCTCTTTTAAAGAATGCAAAACTCTATTTCATTTGACACCATATGCAGAGCTTTAATTGATCCCGCACATCTGGCAGAGAGGTTGAAGTTCTCCGTAGTCTTTGCATCGGTGCCCTACGCACTGACAGCAGCCATTCCGGAACCAGCGGTACCTATGAGATCCCATGTCCCCGCAGGACACAATGCAATCTTCTTTCGCGACGCACCTATGAAAGAAAGCTACTTTGCAATGGTTTGACGAACCTGCAATATAGAGTGGGAAAGACGATGTTGAATGCATGGCAGAAAAAAAAAAAAAAAACTTCGAAAAAGTGTGCACTCAGTTATTGTACCAGTATTTGAGACCATTAGATATTTGGCAAACGTGACAGTTTTAAAGTGCGCTTTCTTCTCTTTCCGCCCTTTTTATTATTGCAATTGCTCGATCCAAAAAAAGAAAGTGATAATAAAATAAGTTTGTGATATTGCTTTTCCGTAGTATATTAGTTGTTATTTGGCCGAGTATGAAGCATTGTGTAATTTTGGCGTGCCATTTTAAGGACTGTGATTTACGGAGCGATAAATGTATGAAAGGTCTATTTACGATACGTAAACTAAGCCAGATTATTACATAGAGAATGCCCACAGTAGACCAGAATAGTCATTAGATGCGATGTTTTTAGCGAACATAGCACACTCATGTTGCCTCAGTGGATTAACCGGCTCAGCTTCTCATACATAGTTACATTTTTAGTTCATTTTGTTGCAGTTTTGATCATGCATACTTACTGTAACACTGTAGTTTACTATTTTGCTCGCCCAACCGCCTTACTAAGGTTAATATCCCATTGATTTTACGGAAGACAAACTTGTATGTATTGACCGCAGCGCCTTAAATAAGCACAAAGCAACCTGATTCAGCAACCACTTGAGAACGCGAAATTAAACAAAAATAAATTATTTGATGAGCTAAGTTCTCACGATACGAAAGTTGGTATTACTTTTTCGTTGGAGTTCCCGTTGATGGAGACTGTTACCGCTCAGTGTCAGCGAATTCATAACAAAACTGACGGTAAACGCAGAGGAACAGGCAGGACCAAATTTTTTTTCTTAAAAACCAGATTTATTTTGGGAAATATATTGATAGAGAAATCGAAGATTTCTTACTGTACTTCATTGAGTGAAATTTGGAGAAATTTAATTGTGTTTTGAGACAGTTGCGTTTCAGAATGCTTGAAAAATTACACGATGTGTACAAGCCTATCAAAATCGATCGACGCTTTAGTTTTACGATCTTTATCGTCTGATTATTTCAAAGTGATTATTCTTGGACTAACGAACCACAAACATAAGGAATAACGTAGATCGATCCAAATGCCGCAATATTTGATTCGCTTTTAATTAATTAATTTAATTTTCATTCAACTGTACCCTTCTGTCCATTTTCGTCATGTTGAATTGGGCACTTAAAATCAGTTCAGAAGGATTTGTATTGTTTCAAACATGTACGCGCGTGTACGCGATCCTTTTGTTGTATTTCATGGTTCGTTTTGAAGGACTATATTTTCTATTTCAGGTTTTTTTTAATCGAGAGCTGGCGGTATTCGAACGCTCGTCAAGCCTAGATCAACTGTTCATGATTGATTTCGACATTTTAATATCACCACAGGATAGTTCTGCCTCTTGAAAAATTAGGGGGTATTCTCCACAACACCGCTTAATAATAAGGCAGAGTTTTCACCATCAACTTTCTATATCTTTGCATTAAAGTTTAGGGTATCCAACACATGCGGTGCTGCTAATTGCTGATTCTGCATTTAGAAGTCATTGCTCCCTTTCTCGAGGAGCCAACAAAAGTTGATAAGTCAAATAGGAAAGCGTTGAAACATCACCATAAAATATTTCCAAAGGGATGTTTTTTGTCGTTCTATTGGTACTCTTAATTGTGCATAAATATCTTTATCATTGTATCTGGAGTAACAATCTCATCCAGAGATTGATTGTCCTTTCTTTAGTGCAATGTGATAGCAAAAACGATATTTTGTTTTACCAATTTGAACATTTTCGATCGATTCGTCTGGCGAACGTGAAACCGAGTCATTAGCCAACTTCTGATAGGTGCTGGTACCTTTTTCGAATAATCGCTCTTAAACTTAAGACTTCTTCAAACACAAAATACCAACCTTTTTTGCCCCTTGTCATGAAGGCAATGGGAAAATGTGATCCTTGACTGATAATGTCAAACATAGTTGGTATAGACCTGCTCAAGTCACCGTAACTGCTTGATATTTGCTGCGTGCTGTTCGTGTCATTGCGAGGAGTGTGAGTGCAGAGACCAACACAATCACAACATTTTTTCCAGAGTTTCTGACCAAGGCATCTGAAGCAGTCCTCGCAACATGTACAGTTTTTTCCAGCTATAGGCCTGCAGTTTGCGCAATCTTTATTTATGATACAAAGAGAGACTCGGGCAACACAAGCTGTGCTTTTGCATCTCTTGTAGGCGTCTATTTCGCGTTGAGTGAACTGGCCGCCATTTTGAGGCTGTGTTCCACTGGTAAAAGTGATAACTGACATCAGAGTGAACAATAAGATAAGGGTACTGACCAGATCTTTCATCCTGAGCTGCTAAAAAGAAACGAATGAAATCGATTGGACATCAGCACCATCAGCAATTTGTCATACTACAAAAAACAGCCCAACTGGTGAGCGTATGCAAATCTTAGATTAAAGGAAGTGACAAATGGATGTAAATATAAAGGCTCAGGACCTTTTCCTTTTACCAGAGGTTAGCGGGTTGGAAGCACAGCGTACAATTTCTAAGTTTACGGGACTTAAGCAAGTCCCCTCTACAGAGTAAATGTTCTGAGATGGTAATGGATCGACAATATAGAATGGTTGATCTTGTTTTTCCTTGCACATATCATATCAAACAAACCTTTCAAGTAAAAATAAATGAGAGGGTCTGACATGAAGTTAAAATAATCTCCCTTCTTGCACAGAACCATTGATCATGCTATTAAAATGTAGGCGATGACTAGATAATGCTTTGTAGTTAACACAAAGTTATTAACTCGCTTTCTGAGCTTCAAAGAAAGAGCCGATATTCTGGTAGATCATAGTCTTAAATCCTCCCGCCCCCTATGGAGTTAGAAAACGTTTGGAAATAAAATTACGGTGGCAATTACAAGTGTGGGACAAACCTAGAAGATTATGACAATTGCGACAATTTTTCCGCAATGGTAGGATTAAAAGAACAGCGTGAAAATAAGGTGGTATCTAAGCATATGTCAGAATTATTCTCAGCCCCTGAAATCTCTTTTGGCGGCCTTGGATAAAGTCTAAGTCCACCCCCAGGTAGTTCCTGAAGGAAGTTTTCATATCTAAACCCCTTCCCATTCGTCATCAGTAGTCTGCAACGGACATGGTCGGAGAGACAGCAATATTGTGAAATAACTATATCGTGTCTTGAAGCTGCGTCTTGATCGCTATAGAAGAATTGAAGGCGAAAGTGATGAAAAATGAATTTAACTGAAATTCTCGGAGTGAGAAAAAATTTAACGACGTATGCCCTGCGATTTTTTTTTCCAATATTTGGTTTACTCTGAAGAGAGTCAATCTTTGTAAAAGTAGTCCTAAGCTTCAGCTGTCAGACAGCTTTCCATAATGAATATGGAGACTGTATTTTCGTGATTTTTGGCAGATTTGTTTTTACAACATTTAAAAGAGGATATGGTTGTGAAAGTAAACTTTCGAGATAATGTTTGTATTTCCCTCCTAAGATGACACAGAATGATCTTAGTTAATCTCGTGGGTAGATCACGAGTTGCTGCCTACACGTGGAACCCGCTTTGAAAGAGGGGATTAGATAAATGCTTCTTTGGCCTGATGTCGTTTCCCAAGTAATGTGATTACTGAAATGAGATGAAGTACACGGCATGTACGTCTATTTTTAGTTTAGTATTGAATCGCCGGTGCATGCGATGTAGATCATTCCATCACTTGAGAGTTAGATGATTAAGCTGGTAAAAAAAAGTAATGAAATAAGAATTTATATCCTAAGTAACGAAAATATTCGCCATTTCTCCTGCATTGCTAATATCAAACACTTCGCCGATATTAATAAATGAGCTATATGGTTCTCGACAACGAGGAATATTCTTTTTTAATTTTTAAGGAGTTACTTCACAATATTTTAAGCTTTTCTATGGATCCACGGAAATATCCCTTTTCGGAATGAAAATCTGAAGTAATTATCATAGGGGCGGACTAATACCAAAGAGCAAAATTAAAATAGTGAACCAAAAGGAAAGAAAAATTTAAAAGTTTTTATGAAGATGGAGAAGATCGCTGACTGGCACAAATTCAAAATGACATAATTAAACAACAGAAGTAACCTTCTTTCGAAATCTAGAAACTTTGACAAAGCTGTTCTACTTAGTGGTGAGCATGTTTCGTCCTCTAATTGAAGGATAAGGCAAACGAAAAATCTAACCGAAGGAATTAATTTTCTATCGAACGGCCTAATTTTCATATATTCAGGTTGCTATATATTGGCTTTCATCATGGAAATTTTCCAAACCGAGACTAAAAAAAGATACTGTCCCTACTGATCTTCTTGTTGTTGGCTGTTGTTTGTCGCCGTCTACCTTACCTCAGGACTATCCGTGAAGTATCTTGGAAAGCACCTTATTGGTAGGAATTCTTACTCATACTGATATAAAAAGTGGGAAAAGGGAGGATAACAACAAATTAAAAATACACTTTGGAAACTCAATGCTCAATCTCTTCAGTCAAAAAGAGCATTTTAAACAAGCAACTTTGCTTTATTATTTATTGCACAAAATGATAGATCGAATTCTGTATAGTGACCACAAAACCACCCTCTGATGAGCTAATGTTTTGATCCTTACCACCTCTTGTCTCGTTCTTTCGTTATAATAAGCAACAGCTATATTCGATGTCGGCTAGACTATTGATTTTGTGATCGCTGGATGAATCACCAACTCTCCGATAATGGCTTAAGCACTGTATACTTCAGTTTAGTGCAACATCCGTTCTAAAATGATTCTTCGTTGTTATTGAATTTTGATATCACGGTCGTGAAATTATTTCACGTACCTCAGGACTGCCAAAGTCAATAAAGAAGTCACTGTTGTGTAGGAAGTGCCACAGAATTCTCAGCAGGAAGGACTGTTGGTGGGTAGTCGCTATACTCATTTTTTTAGTTCACTTTTGGCTTTGTGCCTATTGTATAAGGCACGATTGCTGTAAATAAACATTTACACTTAGTTGTTTTTAGCTATCAGATGCATTAAGGAAGTTAAAAATAGACAAAGTATATTGGACTTTATCTTAAACAAAAGCAGCAGGTGGCAGACAATACTTCAGCCCCACCAAAGGAGTGATAGAGAAAAAACGTCTTAAAGTTCAAAATATCAAATAATAGCTAATTGTTCACGACCTCATTCTTCTTTAATAAATATTAATTCAAAATACAATAGTCCAATCCCTGAGTTTCATAGTTTTTGTTTCAAAACCTACAATAGTAAAAAAGTGTTTTGAGCCTGACACAATCAATAGTTTGAAGATATCAGAAGATCCAAGGCTAGCAGGCTCGAGCAACTGACAAAATATTTTAAGGCGACGCACTCGATTTACGATGGAGTAGTATTGACCCAAATCTTTAATGAAAAGTATTCTTGATATAACAGATTAAAATGATCCATCAGACGAAGCTGAGAATTCTTAAAATAGACTGAAACAATCAGTCGACTTTTTTTTCGGATTTCGTAATAGTAGCGAAAATCGAATATGCATGCATCATTTAGCTATTCTACCCACCCTTTGTTTCCAGTCGTGGTAATTAGAGCGAGGTAAGAATAAAGAGGCGGCGTACCATACAACTTAGAGTTGCAGCTCCCATATGTCAAAAGGAAATGAATGCCTTTGACTGAATCTATTTGATGGGCAGTTCAAACTCATTCCTCCGTTTTTCAGGGGAGAGGTAGCAACAAGACAACTTGAATCGGAAGGAAGCGTCCAGGCCCTCAATGTCTGTTCTTTTTTCTTTAACGCCGAGTCTATTTCAATAACCTTTCCAGCAAGTCTTACAAACCTATTTAGGAAAACAGCTTAACTGAAATTAAAAATACCCTTGCAAGATATCTCATAAGCTTAATTTTGCGAGATTTGGCATAGGGCAACTCGTTGAACTTCTAGATCCTAAATTGTCATTGGTTTGAGATTTCTACTACGACATTATAATGGTATCATGAATAGAGTCCTCGCCGTCATCGGTTCTTTCGAAGCTTCTATTTTCATTCATTGAATTCAACTTTATCATCCAAATTGATTCAAGCGTGGTCAGAAAAATTCACCTTTAAAGGAAATTAAAGAGTAATATCCATCAACGATCGCGTCTCGCTTGGGTGCAAGGTACAATTAGCTGGTGCAGTGGTTTTCAATTTCTTTCCTTCTTTCTTTCTCGTTGCCTCTTTTGAAGGTCAATTTTGATGGAGAAGTACAACCGAATTCTATATTGCTGTTTTTGAGCCTAAAAGGCATACTTTACCATTTTGAGAAATGGTTTGTTCAAATACCCCTTCACTGAGGCAAAAATTGCGTTCAAATGCTCCACCCAATTTTTTCGAAGAGGCAAAATCAGCGACCGTGACTTTCTACACGTTGACCGAGCTTTGAAAAATAGACCTCGTTGACCTTTTGTTCTGAGCCATTCGCTCGCGGAAATGAGCTATTCACATTAAACACCTCCTTATTTAAATATATGACACTTGTATATCGATGGAAAGTCTTGACACCACCGGTTCACCCCTATTATGCAGGCGAGGTTAAATTTCCCATCCGGAGGGCACAGACGACGGTCATAGGCCGAGGCGGAGGAAATGTTGAAACCTCGAAGCGATTGATCCATTTGTTGGTAACTATGTAACAAATATTTATTCCTAAACTTATAAATGTCAAAAAAGAGAAAAGAAATAGATGAACTTGCAAGACTGTCAGCTTAGTAGAATGCTGACGAATTTTGGCGTTTCTTTTGGCTATGAATAAATCCTCTAATGACCATTTTTTTTCCGATCTAGAGATGATCGAATATCAGCCTAGCAATTTCTTCGCTTTTCATGGACCTCACTTCGTATCTGGCCATGCAATGCATGAGCGACCAATATCCAGTCACATTGGTCACACTAAAGATCAGTGAGTATTCAATTTGTACATTGAGGACCGCTATGTTTTTATTAGAAGGTAGAGTAGTAACCTTATAAAATGTCAAAGAAAAACTTAAATAGTATTTTTTTTCTCGCTCAAATGATTTTTGTCCATTTTGTGTCGAATTTGATAAAAAAAAAAAGAATTATGAGAACTTTAACAGTGCCCGTCAACCAACCTGCAAATTTCTTGCTAGTGGTCATGATGCACGTGCATTTAAAAACGAGAGCAACAAAATCGGAACTCCTATAGCATGTCATGTATCTTGTTTGGCAGAAAATAGGACTTTTAAGAGAATAAGTTGATTTTGTTATAGGAATAAACTTCAAGTCTTACCTGCTTTTGAAACTCAATGGGCCTGTTCGTTTCTAATACCAAGAGGCCTCGATTAATGTGCTTTTCTTAACATGTGTTTACGAATGTAATCTTAGTGTTCCAGCGAATAATATCGGATTTGGCTTTTTTCCGCGTTTTATTACATCATCAGACCTGGCAAAAAGTCAAAAATGTACCGAGACCGAAATACAAAAATAATCTGCAACTTATATACTTGCGTTGTACAAATTACTAAGGAATTTGGTTATGCCTACGAGCACAACTTTGGCGATGTTCTTGAAATTAAACTTTGAAGACGCCATGGCCTGTCCTTCCTTTCCTGGATTATCTTATGAAAACTTTTTTCACACTTTTTTAAATTAATAATTAGCTTCTGTTGCTCCCACCCGATTTTTAAGAAATACTGTTAACAAAATGAATTATCACAGAAAAAGCTCTTTATATATACAATAGAAGAAGCTCTTTGCTTTCATATAACCATTGGAGAAAGAAGATACTTGGCACACGCAGCATCACAGAGGAAAATTCGATAATAGTAATGATATTAATATCGAGGATAATGGTGATGTTAAGGACAATGATGATGATGACTGTAACAATGATTTTAGAGATAATAACAATAAGAAATATTGTGGTAGGGATGATAATGTTTATCTAATGAAAAATGATAATATATTTGCAATGAGAGCGTTCATTAAAAAGATTTGCAGTGTGGCCTAACTAAGAAAAAAATATGAAGTAAGCTAAGTTTACATGCGTAGCTCATGTAAACACCAAACTTATGACTCTTAAAGCAGAAATGCCTACGGTCTAATTTGTAACATTTTGGTAGGAGCTGAGCAACATAGGTCAAGTTTTGAGGCTGCATGTGAGAGAGCGACGTCTTGTCGACGAATATAACAGAATCAAGTTCGACTCTCGTTGTTACAATTGGCCTGGCTTGCGAAGAGCCACTGTCAGTCTCAGTGAGCCATTAAGAAGTCGTTCTGAACGTGAGCTCAACAAAACAATAGGGGGTTCACCACAAATATGTAGCGATACACACAGAGAAGAGGTTTATAAAGTTAAAAAAAAAAAAAGTTATTCGTTCAGATACTTACCGAATCACAAAAGCAGGACTATCGGTATTCCACGTGCACAACTGTTCTATAAACAGCACGACAAGAAATTTTCCAAACCGCCATCGAAACTCTGAAAAGGAACACATTTGCACACTCAATATCAGTTGCATCTCCTTTGACGAATTTCTCTCTCTTGCACTTCATAGTTAGACAAATATATAACTTAGTGGAAAAGGGGCCACCATGCGACATATGGCCAGAGCTTTAGTCAAATGATTGGTAAATATTTTAGCAAGGCTTCCACTTTGAAATGTTTATTAAGGCTGTGGAAGCGAGACTGTACCTAATATCTGATTACAGCGATGCGGTTGGTAGAATCCCTTTTGAATAGTTTTAACATTATTTTCATCCCTTTTAATTGTTTTCTAACCACAAGGCAGAATGTTCACATTCGTAATCATTTGTTCGGATCAGTTTGTTTTTTTTTCTCTCCAGTGGGTAATTTTTGAAAATAATGCATTTTTCTATTTTGAATTTTGATAGACGTTTTTCTCACAATAATGTTGTTAGTACTTTTCGGTGTATTTTGGGTTTAGAGTAGGAAAATTGCTTAGATAGCTTTTGCCCGACTAAAGCAATTCTATTTCAGTCGTAGCCTCTGACAAACTCTCATGTGTGTCTTCTTAGTAAGCAGTGCTTTGCTTGCAATGATCTGAAGGATGGCATCCTGATCCACTTACTTATGGCGAAGTAACGTTGCCACTATTAATAGCCGCGCTGCCTGTTTCAAAAAATATCTCAGTTCAGCCTAGGACTAGTCAGTTGATTTTGCATTTTATAACAAAAAAGACCCTTGAAGTGTGCAAAACGGGCGGGAATGTTTTCCCCTTCGTGGAATCAATTTGTGTTTACATGATTCGTGTGACAAGATCAAGAGGTTCTGTCATAAACAGAGAGGGAACATTTGTATCAATATCTTAGGCTCAGGGAAACAAGGAACCACTTGCTAAAAATTTCAAAAGGTTAAGATTTCGCTCAGGGTTAACCAGTGCAGCGATAAGCGAAACATTGGCTCTTTTCTTAATGTTAAAACCTTTGAGACTCAACAATAGCCTTGTAAAAAGAAACAAGACAAACGAACAAAAAAAAGCGATAAACAGAAATATGTGGAGGAGAGAGCTACAACCAAAAATAAACATATGATCAGCGAAAAATGCTGCAACACGGCACTGAGAATGGAATCTTTCGTTCCAAATCCGGAACTAATTACGCCCAGAATATCTTCATCGTCTGTGGCCGCACTTGGAAGCGATCATCTTCGTTGGCCACCGAAAGGAAAAAAGATATTCAAGCACGTGTCATTTAATCCACTTATGCTAGCTATAAATAAGTTTCTAAAGTAGGAAATCGAAATAAATGCTTTTAATTAAATGATTGGTCAAAAAAACCTATCATTTATTGCACTGGTTATTTTTTTAATAAAGCAATGGATCACACTTTCTAAGCGTAAAAAAGCAATTGAGACTTGATGAGAATACTCGAAAAGTTTCTTATTTAGTCGCCTGTGGTTCTTATTAATAAACTTTTCTCGTGTTCTCCCAACAACCCGCGTGGTTTATTACACCGGTAAACCGATAGAAGTACTAGTTGCGGTCTATTGCTTAAATATTTTGCCTACCGTTCACGGAAGGAAGTAGTGAGTCGGTTTCAGTTAAGCAACAAGTTTATTCTGTTCATCCAACTACTGACTATCAGCTCAAGGATTTATCGTTTCCAATAATTATTTCCTTTGCTCTCTTAATCGTAACCGCAGGCAAATCACAGGGGCATTTATGTTTTTCACTACCTTTCGTGATCTTCCTGTAAATTGCACGGGGATCTTGTTTTTATTAGCGCCCTTGAGAGATTTTCTTCTGTGGCGCCCGACTGGAATTCAAGGGCTCTTCACTTGATTGGTGAAGCTCAAAGAATGCCAAAAGAAGTAATGAATTGACTTCCGGTGGAAATACCTTTGTACTTTCATAATAAACTGAGTGGTTGGCACGCATTTCTTCCTATATCGTTAACGACAAAGTCAGTATGTAGTCTTGTTTTTCGCGGTAAATAGTCCTTAGAAACAAACTTCCTTCGTATATATCTCATAAACGCGTTACTCTCGAGACTTCAAATTTAGCACAGACCTTTCTTGTTGGGTAATCATGCTATCACCAGAAAGTATAGGCAGTCTGAAAACATTTAGTTTGCCTCCCGCACCGCTTTAAAAGTCAACGTATATTCTTTTTTACATTGCATCCTTTGCAAGGTGTTCTTTGCAGCCACGGAAAAACAATCAAATTGCCTTCAATAAGATCGAAAATCAAAAACAGAAAACGTAACTATAAAATTATTTCGATACAACGTTCACAAACACGAAAATCCTTTTCACCATCCTTTCCGCTATGCTTAGCCGCAATTTCCAATTTGGTCTCGAGTTTTCTATTACTTTAGAAAGCGGCCGCGCGACCTCTCCTTAATTCTCACGGGCTCATCGGTCGAGAGCCGCTGACAGCAAGAGAGCAGAAAATGCAAATGAGATCATGGCTAGACACGCAAGTGCTTGCTTAAGAATTGCATCAGCTCTTGTCGATCGTTAAATAGAATTAATGTTCAAATAGATCCCTTCTTAGCAAATACGCATTTAAGTCATAATTAAGTCGTGGTCTGTCGAAAGGAAATTTTGTGTAACGGATCTTCGTAATGAATCAGCACTTAGCTAAGCAATAGACCGCTCTTTCTGTTGATTGACTGGCGTAATAACCCACCCAGGATGGTGGGAAAACTCAATAAAGGGTTTTAAATCACGATTCGACGGCAAGTAATTTACAATCTTTTCTAAAAATACTGTTGAAAACTGTTTCATACATTTAAATCAGTATCAAATTTTAATGATATATAATAGATATATAACTGAAAAGGATAGACTTTCTATAATGTTAACGCTCAATTCGTGCGACACAGACCAGAATCCTCCACATTTCATTCATTCAATATTGATCCTTTCCATTAAAAGCCCAATCAGATAGAGATTTGCTGGACTATCATCCCAGTATATCAAACTTGCCATTCCAAATCTTCATCAATAACCTTGCGGGCCAACAGGAAATTAGTTGTCTTGCAATTTTTGCCCTATTCTTGACAACTCAAGGAAATACCTTATCCAATTTAGTACTCTTGCACAGGAGTGTTTGAATGAAATATCTTATCCAATTTAGTTTTCTTGCACAGGAGTGTTTGACCCCCAATAACCCATAAGTACACAATAAATTTGTAGAAAAAAATTAGAAAAACCGGCTGAAAAGGAAAGATACGCTAATATGAAAGATGACGTAACAAAGAATGCGTCGATTAGTACACACTAACTGCTTTGAAATTTCGGTCTCAAGCGCAGGTCCAATCATATACCGTAAAGACTGCTAAGGTATTAACCTTGCAGTCCGGACTTTTTAATGAAGGTTTCAGGCAAGGGGAAAATAAAGACATCTAACATAGCAATAAAGCTAGAGAATTATTTAAGTATATTGGTTCACCCAATATAATTATAGCTCAGTTTCGAATGTGTGCCAATGGGCAGACGCCTCAGCTCAATTACGAGGTAATTAAGCAAAAGAGAACATTTACCTGATCTATGATTTTTATGTCGAAATAACGCAGCGTAAACAAACTCAATTTAATTAGCTTTAGTTGCATGTATCCTTTATTTATATCATATGTAACAAATAACCTTTTCAGGGAAGAGACCGGAAAAATTAGGAAGACTGTAACGTATGTATATCGGAGATCGAAGAAAGTTTAACATGATTATTCTTCTCCAAATGAGCATCTATTGGACTATTGGAATCAATGGTCTTTTAAAAATCATTATCCCTTTGACTGAGATGGTGCAACATGATTCGCGAGAAGCGCACGGCTAATCATTATCCAACCCCAAGCCAAACAGTTCGGCCATAGGCCTACATCATATATTAGCCATGTTGTCACACGGGAATATTGATTTGAAAGTGCATATCCTAATCGAAAGGTGAATTTTGCATGCCATGGTGGACTCATCGTTCTTTTAGATTTCTTCCTATGGTGGGCGTAGACCTGCTACGTGCTTATGCTAAAGCGTTGGAACCTTAACTATGCGATTTGCATTACCGTGTCATTACCAGTGAGATTACAGAGAAACATATATGATCGTGATAGGTAGATCGTCTCAGAAGGGGGTTTTCCAAGTTAGTCCTTGATGAATATGCATGTACGGTATTATCATGCAAAAGCCAATATTTTCAGAAAATTTTTTTCTGCAAATTACTTCAATCCCATGAACTACCTGTTTGTGCCATTTCACTTCTCTCCATTTCATGGCAAGCTGTATCTCGCTAACTTAGAAAAAATGCGAAATATCCCAGTAGTTCCTGGCAAGAGATTGCTTTCAAATTTCTTTTTTTTACTCAGTCTTTGAGCCCTCGATACATAATTTCATCGACGAGTGCATTCCTGCTCAGGGTCCCTACAAAACGATTACACAGAACATTTCAGACAGTTCTTTCAGAGCAGCACAGCTAGAAGGGCACTGCCTTAAAGGTTTTTTATATTCATAGGGTGCTGATTCAAGAGCTTATTTAGTGCACATAGCTGCCCTTTAAAGGTGCGCTTTTTGATTCCCTATAACCTTGTGAAGTTAAACCCAATCTAACGTTATTTCCTAGCTGTTAGCCATGATTCGATGTTAGTTTGTGCATGACGTATTTGTTTGTCAGTTCTCATCATAAATACTCTCCGTCCTTGGTCAATTGCTGGGAAGGTAACTCTTAAGGCAAAGTCACGTTACGGACTTTCGCGATTCCGCAATATGACTAAGAATGTTTGAATTTTCTTTTAATTGCCGCACATAATATCCATGACATTAAGCCTTTCAGCTGATCGCTTGATTTTACGCTAAGCAACTGAGACGCCAATGGACTGCTACCGGAAAAAAGACGACACAGTATCATGCTTGTACAATTGAAGAACGACACGCACAAGACCAATTTTTACAACTCTGTTAATTCTCAATGTGTTTATTAATGAAAAAACTTTGAGTTGATGGTCATACTATTTTTAGTGGAC